GCAGTTGAACCACCTGACCTCATTATGACGCCACAGCTACGGTTATTATTTTGTTTTGTGGAAAAATGAAGCTCAACACCTATAAATACACTAACAGAGTGCAGATACATGAATACGCGCACGGGATGCTGCGTCATTAACGGACAATGCATTCAAAAAACTGCGGAGCTAAAACGTGTAATTCCACCGCACACTGAAGAGCACGGGCCATTCAAATATTATTCACATCAGAGGGAACAATATACACACCATAGACAAATGAACACAGGAGTAACACTTCGATCACTCCCTCCAGGAAATACACGAAACCGTAGTTCTTGTTAGTGACGGATTTATTCGTCTGTCAACACTGAGACGGAAAATGAGTCCACTTGAAAACACATGAATCTTGTAAGATGATCACTGAAACACTTTAACTTAAACTTAACATTAACACTTTACGCGGAGTATATAGACTTCTGCTGCTTCACTTGTCTTCTTGTTGCCGTGCACTGACTAAATGTGTCCCCAGCGCAACATTGGACGTAACAATAGTTCCTATCACATATAAAACCAAACAAATAATAATTTATAAACAAGCATATTAAAGCTACTGCAGATGTAAAAACAAAAGCAGTTAACTTACTAAAGCTGCTGTTCACTATTTAAAGACAAAGTCCATCCTCCTTTCTTTGTTAACAAAGAGTTTAATCCCACAGTTGTTCAGTACATCCGTGTGTTTTAGTTCCAGTAAGAAGTCCTTCTCCATTCATGGACGCCAGTGAAGACAGTCGAGCCTCCCCAGTTGTATTTCTTGAATAGGTTTTAATGCGTTTGAGGCTGAAAATGTCCGCTCGACAGAGGCAGCAGATATTGGGATTGTCACCGCCCAACATGTCAGGCTAGCCCACTGACCAATCACGTACTTGTAGGCCAGCTAGCAGGTGCTGACACGTCAAAGAATAAGCCCAACATGTCAAACTAAAGATCCGATTGGTTGAACACTATGACAATCAACAATATTGTCCTCATTCTCTTAAACTGCACATGGATGCACGTGAGTCTGCAGGCCTGGGGCCTCTGTTCTTACCTAGAGACACAGAGGTGAGATCTGATTGGATAAAAGCTCTACTTAAAACAAGCTGCACTGGAAGCAGAGCAACTGAGGAAGACAGTAGCTGTGCAGTGAGAAAATAAGATAATGGGAAAAATATTATAATACATGTAGTGTATTTATGAAAAATTATTAAATTATAAAATAGCAATAACTTTGTGATTCTGTCTAGGCCAGCAGAGAAGGCCTTGCTGGCCCTAACGGCCCACAACTGCATCTAGATATTGATATTACAGCACTGCTATTTCGGAGTTTGAAAGCCGATTTTTCTTCTTTCGATCTACAACAGTTAGTTATAACCATCGGGTTTTAGAGTAATCAAAGAGCCAGCACTTCTTCTTCTGTCTGCGGCTGCCGTCCTGCAACAACAATTCATCAATCGCACGGGGAGGACAGAGGAGGCAGACGGACACACAGTTGCTACCGCGGAGCAGAATTCATTGCGACTCGATAAGAACGACATCTTGTTGCTGCCGCTTTGAAGGCGTCGTGTGTTTATTTGCTTTCAACAGCCCCCATCCAAAGTAGCTTATGAATTTAAGATCAACCATACATTATGTATGTTGAAAGTTCTCACTTTCAGAAGAGTTGCATGAGTATGGATGATGACTGATACTTACCTGGGACTGCTGACATCGGTAGATTTAGTGGAGTATTTGCCTTCGGGGTTGGCACACCGTCAAAAAAGTCCACTGTCCTACTTTTAATTGCTACATAAAGTCTGGCGCGGACAGTTTTACTCGGTACGTTAAAGGATGAGTACAACAAAAAAATACAACTCTTCATTCCTGAAATAACTTGATTTCAGATCTAACAGCATAGGAGGATACAAAGGGGACTTTTTCTTTGACTGAGCCTCAAAAGTGGGATTACCCTCCGCTACCTCTCTATAGGTTTTACCAGCTTCACAACAAAGAATGATTTATTCCTCCACACCAAGAAAACCACAACACCACAGGGGGAAATGCCGTTTCTTTTGATACACACATTGTCAACAGCTGCTCAGGTTGATGACAAATCCCTCTGAAAGAAGCCAACTTTGATGAAATGACACAGGAAAGAACGTTGTTGTCACAAACTGTTTCCACGAGAGACACATACTTCAATATTGAGATGCCACACATTTCATCCGAGATTTAATTTTCTGCGTGAATCGCAGAGTGAGAAAGTAATCACACGGATGCGTGTCATCATTTAGACCCGTTGTCATCCCGGAATTACAATTTCAATATGGCTGCACGTCATCCCCAGATTAGACTTTCCATCCCCGCGGCTCTCATCCAGCAGGTGAAGTATAGGTGAAGTGCATTATGTAACTAACAAAGCTTTCAGTCTGAATTGTTTTTCTGTCTGTCACGTCAGTGATTTGTGCAGCCCTGGTCCGCTACTTGCCATGAACTAAATGGTCAGTGATGAACGGTATACAAGTAAATGTTGAACAAAAAGGCTCAACAGCCAACAAAATAAGTTTTCCACATTCAACTCACGGCGAGAAGATGATTTATTCAGTCTGAAAACAGGGCACGCACTCATCAGTATCTGTAATAGCACAGAACTGTGCAAGATTGATTTTTTTCTTGTTCCCCCTTCTCTAGTATTAGTGAAGTAATTCCAACCTCTATTTAAGTATAAATTGCATGTTTCATGCGTATAACTGACTGGTTCCTCACACCGTTATTAGTCACCAACAGAGACAATCACAATGATTGCCATTTGTCTCTCGCACACAGACTAACAGAGATCATGGATCTCATCAGTAAGGCTACGTGCATGTGCAAGTGCGTTGAGGGTTGGTTTTTTTGTCCATTTGTTAAGCCTATGAATAATAATAAGCACCTTGCACAAAGTAATAGATGAAATTTTCAATGCTAGTCAACTGTGTATTGTGTGTGGGGGTGGGGGGGGGGGCAGCTTGCTACACCTCTGCATGAGTGAGTCCAAGGTTCTTTTCTTTAGAATTGTGAGTAAGCCATTCATTTGACATACAGTACATGAGTTATGGAGACGTGGCGATGAATAGGATAACTCTGCTGTATCCCACACGGTTGCTGTTTTTCCAACGTGATTTGCTTGGTAATTTGTCATTTGGCTGAAGCCACATCCCCCCCCACACCCCCCCGATTCTTTCATGTGACCAGACACATGACTTGGTCAGATGGTAAGCCGATGAGGAATGTCGCGGCTAAAGCCACAGTTAACTGTCTCTCCTCGCTCACAATGTTTTACTTTCTGTCAACAAATCCCCGTAAAAAAGACTGAAACCAACAACATGTTATTATGTAAGCATTATTATGTCTCTCAATACTTTCCTGCCAGTTGATGGATTGCAGCCCCAAGCCTATTGTTTCCAGAAGGTGTAATTAAAAAAAAAGACATACACTGTGGTTAATAGCTTAACGCTACTCAAACAGGAGTTAATATTGTATTTGTTGAGGACTATTTTCAGCTGTGAATGTGATGTGCTACAAACCGGAAAGTAGTTGTATGTGGGATAGACTAAAAAATAAACTACAATGCCCGTGTTCGGTCCATCAAGGGATGGAAATATCGGCTGGTCCACAACTTTGGTCCAGACCGAAACATCTAAATAACTATGACATTTATTGCCAGGAAATTTGGTTCAAACGTCCACGGTCCCAGTGGAGGAATCCCAATCCCTGACTTCTTACTGCTAACTGTGAGGTTGACATTTGTGGTTATGAGGAGTTCGTCTGTACACATATTGGATGGCCTGCCATGAAATGTGGACAGACGTTCATGCTCGCCAGAGGATGATTTCCCGTGACTTTCCATTAAGAGCCATCCCCGGGTCAAAATTTAAAAATGGACCAATACTTTGGGTTGAGAGCAGAATCCTGCAAAATAATGATAGTCCTAGCAGCTCCAAAGCTTTACTTTGAATTAAGCAGTGTTGGAAGAATTATTCAACTAATTCCACTGAAGGAAACGTAGTAATACTACAGTATAAAAATACTAAAAGTCCTGCATTCAAAATTCTACTTCAGTAAAAGTATTAGCTACAAAAAATGTTAAAGTACACCAAAAGTAAAAGCGCTCATAATGCAGAGATGCTCCTGTCAGTGTTATACTGTTATATTATTGGATCATATTATTTATGTGCGCTGGAAACCTGTGTGATACAAATTTCTGGTTGGTCTACAAAAATACGTCATCCCTGCATTGATCAAATTTCATGAACAGGTGTCTATGTATTGTTTGTAAAACATTAATTTGAAAGCTAGTGACTGTAACTAAAAATTCAATATTTTCTTCCAATCTGCAGTGGAGTAGAGGTATAAACTGGCATAAAATAGAAATACTCAAGTAAAGCACAAGTAATTCAAACCTGTTGCCTGCTGAAGTACAGCACTTTGGGAAGTAGTAGGCCTACTAAGTTGTAGTTTCTTGCTTTCTACAACTGGTTTATCGGGATAATTATCTAATTTTACCATGTTATCATGAGAAATTGAGATGAACATGGCAAACATTACTCCTGGTAAACATCTGCATGTTTACAGAACTGCCAGACTTTTCATCTTGTCAATTTATATTTTGGACAAGGATGCAGCTCCATGAGTAGGAGGAAAAGGCAAAAAGCGGCTAATTAGTAAGGTCACTTCACTGTTGCTTTTGTTTTATTCATGTTTTTCACAAAAAAAACATCTTTAAAAAGTGTAATTTTGTCCAAACTCATGAGTGTTTTGTACTTTCCTGATGTGCGGTTAGTGGGGCATGCAGCTGTATCCGCGGCTGTCAGAGACTTTATACCCAGCCGCTGGGAGGCCACGCCCCCGGGGTTTTCCACCACTCACAGGGCAGAAAGTGATTAGCTCATCGCGGCTGTCAGTCACGCCTATCCAGCGTTGCTTCCTGTGTGAGCCAGTGGACTCGGTCTGTCTGCAGAGAGTCTCCGGTATGGGCAGGCGCCTCACTCCTCAACTTTTTACCGGAGATTTCACCACAGTTGCGTCCCATGTGACACGGTTTATATCACCTGAAAATGGATTTCTGAATGGAATAACCCGAAAGTGAGTCCGACGTGAGTGTATCTGACCGTTTGAATTCATTTTTTTTTCTCCGTTGTTCGAGTTGTTGAAGGAAGAGGGGGAAAATGCCAGTCGCAACTCTTCTGCCTTTTACCGCGACCCCGAATAGGAAGTCTGTCAGCCCGACCTCTTTCAGGTTGACGGAGAAATTCATTTTGTTATTAGTGTTTAGCGCTTTTATAACCCTGTGTTTTGGGGCCATTTTCTTCCTGCCGGACTCGTCCAAGCTGCTCAGCGGAGTTTTCTTTCATTCCTCCGCGGTGGAGACCAACACCCGCACCGGTCCGGACAGCGGAGACCCGGGTTCGGCTGGAAGCGACGACAGGGTCCTGGCCAAAATCCGAAAAGACCACGAAAAAGCTCTGCTGGAGGCCAAGGATACTCTACAAAAACGTCCCGACGAGATAAAACAAGACATTTTGAACGACAAGGAGAAAGTTGCAAAGGAGAGTGCGGGTCAAGGTGGGAACGATGTGAATACTTTACCTTTCGTTGAGTATCACCGCCCGCCCGGGGCGACCGGACACGAGCCCCAGGACCCCGAGACGAAGGAGAGACGGGATAAGATCAAAGAGGTAAGGATCTGTTGAGCTCACGCGCTGTACGTTCTGTGCAGGAAAACGTCCCGCCAGACTCTCCCAAAAAAACAGGCATTTTTACGTTTTCCACCGGGTTTATGGCAGTTGATATACATGGTAAAACATGACTCAACAGCTTACACCATCGTCCATATCCCCTTTACAATTCGGCGCATATATGGCACACCAAGGAGCACTAGCGTGAATGAAATTTGAACTTTTACATAATGTCCCGCTTGTTATCTCCAACGTCCTCTCCGCCGATACAACGCTACCTCGCGGAGAGCGGTGGCAATGAGTGGACACCAAGTATACAACTTGTGTTTTTACGGAATACACGCTGACCATAGCGGGTCACTTATAGTAGCCGAAATGTGCAAAAACATCTAGTCGTGTTCAGCTGAAGGTCTTTTGTCATGTTGTGATTTCTACCTACACCTGCCGGTGGATTTGACACATTGATTTCACGGCTTTGTCAACGGAATTTGGCGTGGCGTTGTTGTTGTTTTTTTTCCCCACGAAATCGAACAGCAGTTAGTTCCTGTGTCGGGGAAAAGGGGGGAATGCGTGCAGGATCCACCGCCCTCTCCTCCGGGCTGCTGTACCTGTCTTTCAAGTTTCAGGGTTCGTGAAAATACGAGGCTGGTTTCAAAACCTGCTGTGATCAGATCACCACGGGAGGAACAGGGGCCGATCGTGGACACCTTTTAGCTTCTCACAGATCTCAATCAATGACCTAGGTTCAAAGGGAACTCCACAGTTGATAACCTGCGAATTCATGCTTCTTTTGAAAGCCTGACCAACTATTTTTATGATTCTGATTATTATTATTAGTACAGTTATTAATTGGAGTCATGACCCTGTAGGCCTGTCTCACTGTTATTCAATAGCTCGTGTGCATGTCCTATCATTCCACTCCAGTGAAAGCCAAATTGAAGCCTTGTAGTGTGCAGCAGGGTGGAAAAACAAACACACCAACAGGTAGCATATCCTGCGTTATTGCGACGCCTCACTGCACTGTGTGTGTGTGTGTGTGTGTGTGTGTGTGTGTGTGTGTGTGGGGGATGAGTGAACAGCCCAGCGGTGAGGTCCCAGAGGTGGCTGCAGGAGGGTGTTCGGGTCACGCTTGCTGCATGATCTGTGGCATTATGATCTCTAGATGGAAATGGCATTATTATCTTAAGTGTTATTTGAGAGAGAGAGAGAAAAAAAAAGGGAGTTTTCCCCACGGCGCTTCTGGAGAGCAGTTTGCCGTGGATCTGCTCAGTGAGGTGATTTCCTTCCATTTACTCATTCAGATGGTTAAGTGCCGGACTCGTGTAGAGGACCGTTGAGTGAGTGAGCAGATAAGGGTTTTATGGTCCTGACTGAGCACACGTGGCTGCTGTCTGACATTCAGATGGACTGATATTTGCCTTTTCATTGCAAATCATTTGAAAATGAGATAACTGCAGGTCGGCATGCCCCCGAGCTGATATGAAGGTGGATATGACTTCCCTGAACAGCCTCTGTGGGGGCCGTGCTGAATGCTGACAAAATGAAATGCATGATGTATTTATAGACATGTTGCTCAGGTGTCTCTCTGGCTGTAAACGCTGTCCCGCAACACCTTAAAAGAGCATCGCTTGTGTTTGTTATTGGAGATGCACAGTTGGAAGTGCTGACGGAGCACGTTTCTGACCTTAAGATGACATCACCTGCCACTGAACGGTCACGCTGTCAACCACGTGGACGCGGTATTAAAGACATCATGTCAACGAGAGGGGCCATACGAAGCAGGAACTACAGTTTACCGATAGTGTGCATGCTCCGCCCAACTGTTTGTCGTCACATGGGCTTTGCCACTGCTCTAATGTAGTTGGTCATCTTAGCGACAGCAGTACAAACGCACAATCCAGGTATGAGGACTTAAGCATTCATTTAAATATACTTTCTTCTGAGTCCTTAATGCGGAATAAGATGGCATTATTTCTGTCTTTAATCTGACCTAAACTCTAGCATAATCCCAAATGTCTTCCCTCCCAGCTCTCTGTTCTACAGTCAAATGTGAACTTTGCATCTTTGCAAACAACAGCAACAACAACAGTGAGCTGGGAGATAAGGCAACAGAGCATCGTCCCTGTTGGAAAAGCTGTTTTGAAGATTTCTTGTTTCGTCGAGGCAGCAATCTGTGTTTATAAAGAGCAGTGGAAACACAGATTGTCTCGCTCCGGGCTGTTTTTTTAAAAATGGCCAAATATGAAATTCCTTTAAATCTGGTTTAAAAAAATAAAAAATAAATAAATAAAAAGTACCTCTGGTGCCAAAAGCATCAGACTGAATATTCCCACAAGTTGCACTGATGCTGCTGTTTACAAACGTTAGTCGCTCCAGCAGCATCCCTGAAACGTTCAGGTCGATACGTGTTGGTCGTCCTACTGTTTCTTTTCCAAACATGTTCATCAGCTGGTGATCTGTAGTTGACGTCAGTAGTAAAACAGATAGTGCTTCAAACAGTGAAATAAACAACTGTTATCTGGAGTCTTACCGTCATAATTTGGTCGGGATTCACCTTTGCTGATGTTGGATATCGGGCCGATACTGAATGAACTAGCTGGTATTGGTGAAAATCTGAAACCAATCTGAAAACCAATCTATATATCCTAATTTAATTCTATATGTTCATACTATATACAGTACATACGTGGGTTTTGACCAATTGATTGCTGCATTAAAAACATTGACACCTGAAGGGCACTGACAGGGTCGTCCATGTTAACAGCATCAAGCGAATCCCGTCAGGATCACCGATCAACGATCACCGCAGCGAGTGGCTACTCCGACATTGTCTGTCGTCCGGTCTGTGCGACGGCTGTTTAGATTGTGAGGGTTGCAGTTTGTCGCAGAGAGGAAGAAAACAAGTTTGTCCATCTGTAAGTAGCTGCATCTTAATCTCTGTTTGTTCAGAGTAAACCCCACAGCGTTGCAGGGATGGTCCATGACAGTGCAATATTCTATGACAGTAAGACAAAGGCCGAACGTCTGGCACAACCTCCCAACCTAATGAAGCAACCTAATGAACGACTTGGGGGAGAGAGTGTAATGCTTTGAACTACCAGGAAAAGACACAACAGTAGTGCGTTTTTATCCTTCCCTACTGTTTTTTTATGAAGATTTTCTGCACTCTCTGCTCTGTAAAGCCAATAACTCTCTTCGCACAAAACGCAGCCACACAAACATGCTCCGGCATGATCCCCCCCGACCTTATTTGAAGACATAAGTTCTGTGGCAGAGGCTTCTTACTCCACCTCGCCACCCTCTGACCCTGTTATCCAGGGATCTGAGTGTTGTGTTTGTGACGAGCACGAGCAAAGGATGGACTAACGGCTTGTTGTGAGTGACCGCCACCAATCCCACAATCAGCCAAATGTCTTTGTCGGCTTCAAATCAAAGGCCCTCCGGAGAGCCCCCTCCTCCCTTTTTAGTCTGCGGCCCGAGGCGAGAGCAGCGGGGGGTGATAATGAAAGCCCCCTCGGATAATAAACAGGGAAAATCAAGGTTGATGGGGTCGGTCGATGCTGGATGCTAACACACCTGCGTTATTTGACACAGTAAACTACTTTCCCCTCTGGTGGTAACAGGCTTCTTAACCATCTCCAAGTAGATTGCATCTCAGGATTGTGACCACCGTGGCACCCCTGGAATATTATGATAGATGGAGCAATGTTTTCCCATCAGGGAATTAAAGAAATGTGTCATCGTCGGACCAAATTCTGTTTAAATTATTCTTTTAACAAGTTGCGTCAAGTGAAACTGTAAAATGTGTTTTTTTTAAAATTTATTTTACCACACACTTTCACCCATTTAACCCTTGTTAGCAGTCCGTCTGAAAAGGTTAATGGGCAACGTGTATCCGTGACCTTCTACCCGACCGAGCTAAACTGCAGGTCGGACACGGCCTGACTTTGAGATTTAAACACAATTTAACAATGTTGGTGATTTTAAACGTTACATTCTACAGAATGTACATGAGTTGGTAGGAAAAAAAGGGGATTCAAGTGAAATTGAACCTTTTTCTTTGAACGGTGACGAGCAGACGTTAACTCGTGGCATTCTTCTGTAACGCGTCATGTTCACACTTCCTGTCTGGAGTTCCAGACCGTTGATCACTTGAGGGGGAAAAAAAGGAAATAACAAACCGTTATATTTCGGTCATTATTTATGGAGTGTTCCTCAGAGTGGACCATTTACAGCAGACATTAAAGTGTGTCTCCTGAGCACACACTATCCGCCGTCATTTTCACATACGAAGCACTTGAGCCTGCCTGTTCCCTGTCTACCAGTGTCCTCACGGTTCACATTTAAAGGATGTTCAATGACTGCACTACAACTGATCCACATTGAAAACAGACTCTCTGTCGGTGCCGTTAAAGCATTCAGTGTTTTATCCATTAAGTCGTAGTTTGCTGACAAATATCAGGCTTTAGTTCCACCACTACTCCTGGCCCCAAGTTACCTTGAATATAAATGATGTTAATGATTTCCACAGTCAAATGTACAAGTTTTAGATTTAGAAAAACAGGGCACTAGAAGAGAAAAATCTACTTCGTCTATTCTAGTAATTAAGGTAAACAGACTTTACTGGTTCTTCTTCAAGTAGAAAACCACACAGGTAATCTATTACACTGTATTCTGCGTGAGCCCCTAAAACTCACTCAAGGACCCCTGGGAAAACCTGGAATGTGCTCCAAGAACCACTGCTGAGGCTCTTATCTTTGTGGCAGCTGTTTTTTTTTTGGTTTTTTTTATATAATGAAGGACTTGTTGCTAATTAATACACACAGACTCACCTTTTGTGCTCTGAGCAACAGCTGCTGTCCTGTCTGACTCACCATCCTTGTGTGTGTAAAGTTGGAGCTTGTTGCTGCTTAAGTATGCAGATGAGATGCAAATGGGCATTTGACTGGCCATAAGGACAGTGTGTCTGCAGTATTTACTCCTTTCAGCTCACCGTCTTC